GAAATTCTACATAATCGTCATTTTCTTTATATTTAAGCTAAATTTTATTGCACATTTTCCGCATGTATCGCCATGAATTATTATTTTGCTGAAATTATCTCAGGAAATTTTATGTAAATTCAATTATACAATTTTAAAATAAGTCATTAATATCGATCAAAATCTAAACTTCACCTCGAATTTCAAATTAAGTGAGTGAAATAATTTTTCATCACCCTGCGCTTCAGTCTAATATGAGTGACTATATAATATACACGAAAAACATCGGTTTGGCACGCTGAAGGCTTACTTGGTCAAATTCAAGAAGCTGCTAGTTCGATTGAATATATTCAAACTATTTGTATTCTTAATATTGGACGAACTGAATTCATTTCAAAATTTCTTCTTAAATCGTCTTATAAAGAGTTCAATAAACGTACATTTGCTAGGGAATAAAATCAAAATGCAGCTCAATGATTTTGCTTTCTTAGCATAGTCGGTATCGTCTGCTACAAATTTAAAAAACAATTTGCCAAGTTGAATTTAATTTTTAGTATTAATTTTAGTATAATATATAATACTAATAATATAGTATTAATTTCAGATATTGTAATATTTACAATATCTCTTAATAAAATCCCTAACATGAGCTCAAGAATAGCTTGAAGTTTGGGATGGTGCAACGATACCGACAGTTGAGCGCGTGAGCGCTAGCAAAACGAATGAGCGAAACTTCTATCCGCATGCAATTAGCTTCTATAACAAACTTGTTTTATTACTGGGAAGTTGTTTATCGATTGTTAATTATCATCTTATTTATTTTTCATGTTATTCTCGTTCATTATTTTTTCCTGTTTTCTCTTATTTTATTTATTATTTACAATACATTTTGTGAATTTTCATCGACATCGAAAACAGTTAAGCGAATACCAACAGGGCTGCTTCTAATGTCTATTTATAGTCAATGTTTGTACTGTACACGAAATTCATCTTATTCCTTTGTAGTAAAAATTCTCATCATTGATTTCTTCCATTCGATTCCGGAATTATTGCTAAAAAAATTTTCGGAATGCGCTTTCTACGACGTGAAGCCCACCAAGGACGCAACTCAATGGAAGTATAGAAAACCCGAAAGCTCGACCTGCCCGAATAATAAAACATTTTAGTGGGTCGATGGGAGAGCGCAATCGCGCTACACACGCAAATGCAGTGCCATAATGTTACGCCAAGTGTTCACGCGCTTCTCGTCTATTTTTTAACGCCTCAATTCTTCTTCGTCATAAAATATATAACTTTATCTTATAAATTCAGGAATAGAGGAAAAATATTAAGTCATGGCGAATGATATAATTTTACTTTCTTGGTAATATTTTATTCCCGACATTCTTTTTCATTTTCAAATGAGAGCATATTGATATTAATAATTATAACTAAAATTTTCCGTGCTCTATTTAAAAACTCAAGTATTTCTAGGCTCACAGACAACTGGACTGTAGCATAAAATTGAAGAGCCATCAATTACACACATTGATTCTGTCTCTGAATCAATGTGTGATCAATCAATTTCTCTAATACGTAATTTATGATCGAAATAATTTCAGTTTTCCCATAGAAATTTGCAGTACTGCAAAAAATAGTTATTTTTCTTATCTTTTACTTTTTATTACAATCATTGTGATCTTACATCCTTGTGATCATACAATCGCTGTGATCTTACGTTAGGAACTGATTCCACTGCTTCATACTCAAAAAAAGAAAAAGGAAAAATTAACTTCTGACGCTGAAAATATGAAATTGATTTGTGCCTTAGCATTTAAATACGCTTATTGTAACACGTGCAGCAAAAGAATATCTTTCAGCCTACCTGATGTAATGTACCTTGTGCAACATAGGCTCGGATTAGAGTAATCATGTAAAAGAAGACTCAACATAATTTTGTTTCTGTTTTGCGCCACATAATGTAAAAATGTAATCTCAGTTCAAGGCGAGCAGTTTCATAAAATTGCTCCACGATAGTTGAGGTGCAACATGCGATTATAGCAAATAAATGCTTAATATTAATACTCATTATGAAATTCACGGTAAATAAGTTAGCCATTTACTCGTAACTACACTGGCCTGGCTTGCTTCAAGAGTCAAAAGTTATTAAGAGACTTGACGGAGCTTTCCTTGTTTAGTTAATAATGATAAGCTCGCCTTAATAACAAATCAAGTCAACGCCTGTAGATTTATTTTTCAACTCAAGATGCACTCGAGATCAAGGATGTGTTAGTCCAAATGGCAAATTTGTAGCCAGTTTCAAGGCACAAAAAAATTGTTTATAAATGAATCAGTTCCTTGAGTCAAATGTGTTCCATAATTTTATTCTGATGCATAAAGTTTGTGAAAGTTGATCAATATAACATGCATATTTTTATCAATTTCTTCAGTCGTCGAAACGAAATGCAAGAGCTAAATATATCCTTCCTTCCTTTCAACCCACACAAAATGCAAATTCGAAAATTATCATGGGATTTTTACTTTAGTGATATAAATTAAATTACAAGTAAAATTTCTCCGTGTTTTTTAAATAACAGAGGAACAAGAAATTTTTGTTCATGGAAACTTGAATGTTGCCCATAACCAATTTCTCAACTTTCTTGATCCCCGGGAGATGCGATTACATACATTCCCAAGTACACATCGAAGTTTTGTTTTCCTGGGGCCATACTTTCAAAACTCGCTAAATGAACGTAAGTACTTACGCTCTATTTTCTTGTCTATGATTGGTGGATTTTGCTTGAACTAACGATCTCTTAACTTTTCTTGAAAGTATAGTCCCCGGGGTTCAAGTAACGTGTAGATGTACCACTTAACGATACTCCAACAGCCAGAGGTGAAATTTACTTTGTCGGTACGAAGATGAGCGTCTCGTGTCTGGCAAGTTGTTTCTCGATTCTCTTGGACCCTCCGGGCGATCTTAGGGACTTGCAGCCACTGCCGCTGGCGCTCCGGCAGCAACGTTCGCTCCGATGATGTACAAATGGATTTCCGATGGGCATTGTTAGGTTAGTGGCGGCATTCATTTAGGAGGGAACGATATTGGCTGCTTTAAGTGGTGCTAAAGCCAGAGAATTGTGTGTCAGCATGCACAATTTCATGCATACTCCTGATGTTCAGGTTTGTGTCTTCAAAGGCAATAGAATGTGATTGTATTTTCAGAGGGAAAATTCAAATCAACATTAGGGAAACAATAGTATTTTTCCAACCTTTTTTAATACGGGTTCCAGTGCACGTGAATTCAATCTTCGAACTTGTCTACTTTTGATCACAAGAAATAAAAATTTCATATATCATCTTTTGAGTTGGTTTCAATTCATTTTAATCGAAAATATCAACATAAAAAGCCTAATTTTTACTAATAATTCAGGATTATAATTCAATTTAAGAACCATAAGCTTCACCTCTTCATTTCATGTCCCAAAGAACACAAAGGACTATCTGAATTGAAATTGCATCACAACAATGATAGTCTAGCAACATCAACAATCGCGAACAACGAGTTCAAGAAAGTTTCCAATTAATCGCCGACTTATTTTCTCTGATCATGAAAATTTTTAAGCAATCAGTTATTAAGTTAATACTCACCGATGCGGTGATTGTCAACGACTTGCTTAACCACTTGAATGAGGCCTTCTTCACAGCCTCCTTGAAGAGATTTGTATGAGCAATCTTGGTCGGACAGATCGCTGCAGTCTTTGTCCTGCCTTAAGATTGAAAAATATTCAAGTAAGGGCGTCACATTTAAAATGGTCTTTGGGGTCGACCGCAAGTTGCTCAGGGAGTGTCGCACATAGAAGTACGAAGTCTAAGATATTTTCGAGAGACATTTCTGAGCTCCTTGGGGCGTGACATGGTGCCGAAACCTGGTGCCATCCTCCTATACTGATCTGATTCCCATTAACTTACTTGCAGTGCTTTCTGTCAGCCTTATTGGTAGTGAAACTTGTGAAACTAATCGTAATGATTAGAGCGTTACAGTTCTGCCCAGCTGCTCTGTTTCTTTGGGTATTTTTTTCGTAAGCTGGTTGCAGCCATGCTCGAAATTCATCAACATTCCACTTCCACTACTGTCGAAACTCCTGGAACGCGCTGTGGCCCGACAGCTGAACAACCATCTTCAGCAGTCCAGTCTCATGCCTCGCCTCCAGCCTGCATACCGTCATCTCCACTCGACAGAAACCGCTGTGCTGTAGGTGCTTTCAGACATTCGGCGAGCAGTAGACCGCGGCGACATTGCGGCACTGGCTTTACTCGACCTGTCGGCCGCGTTTGACACGGTTGATCACGCCACTATATTGCGTCGACTAGACGCATCATTCGGCCTGCGCGGCACAGCGCTGCGGTGGTTCGGGTATTATCCTAGCAATAGATTCCAATGCTTTCAGCACGAAAACTCTAATTCTACACCATCGTTCGTCACTTGCGCGTACGACAGGGATCAGTTCTCAGCCCGATCCTCTACCTCCTAGATGCTGTCGACGTGCTGGATATGATTTATTCACATAGTTTGAATCCGCATATGTTCGCCGACGACACAAAAATATATGGTTATTGTGCGCCGGCTGACGCTGCAGGGTTGCAGAATCGGATATTTATCTGCATGGAGGTTCAGACTATATGTGCCCCAACCGGCTCCAGCTTATGAATCGAAAACCTACTTCATTTGTTTTTCGACTGTTCGGCGCCATCGTCAGCTTCCGGTCAACCATGTTCGCGTAGGCAATTAGTTCTTTATGCCTGCGTCTTCGGTTCGAAACCTAGGCATTCTGCTGTACTCGGAACTTTCTATGAACAATCACATTGCCAAAGTCACAACCGCTTGTTTTGACACTCTGCGACGAATACGTAGCGTCAACCGCTGTCTCTTGAGTCCGGCCCACAAGGCCCTCATGGTTACACTCGTTCTGACCAGAGTGAACTGTGGTAATGCCACTCTCTATTGACTTCCGACCACGGCACTAAATAAACTGCAATCCGTAATGAACGCTGCTGCGCGACTCGGGTACAATAAGCAAAAATTCGACTACGTGACGCCGATATTGCGCGATCTTCCCTGGCTGCGCAGGCAGCAGCGCTCGCAGTTCATGGTCGCTGCTCTGACGTTCCAATGCCCTCACGGTCTGGCGCCTCTTTATCTCACGGAATGTCGTCAGCGCGTGTGGGATCTGCCTTCTAGAAGACGACCGCGTTCGTTATCAACAGCGGACCTCATCGTTCCATCTACACGTCTATCTACCGTCGGTGACAGAGCGTTCCCGGTCGCCGATGCCAGTACCTGGAACAGTCTACCGGCTTCAGCAACATCGGCTCCTTCGTTGCAGGCGATTCGTCAACACCTAAAGACGGAAATATTTCGTAGAGCCTATGAATCAAGTGCTTAGTAATATTTATCTGTTCTCATCCTTTCTCGTGTCTATTTATTTTTCGTTTGTTATTAAACTTATGTGTAACGTGCCCTCGATCGTTCGTTTGAACCAGACGTTAAGATAACTGCTTCGTAGAATAATAATAATATTGAATGTATCAAGACGATGAACCAAGTAATAAAATTTTACTTTCAAGCCGTATAGTCGATTTCCCAAGGTGAGAACAAGTAATTTGAAAATGATCAAGCCATAGATGCGAGTATTATTCTCCCTGTGTGTGCAACATCTGTTAATTTACTGTTAAACTAATCCAAATGATAATGTTAATTAATTGATCGATGAAAATACCCACTGCTTGGTAGGAAAATAATTTTCAAACAATCTAAAAATTAACCAAGCACATGTAAATTTATCACTAATAATTATATTATTAATATTTATCGCTAATTAATTAAGTAATTCGTGAAAAGTTGTACAAAAATAAACCCGATGGTGCGATTATCCTCAGAAAATTATGAAACTCCAATAGCAAAGTCGAGATAACTCCACAACTTTAGGAATCGTAGGGAAACATCCTTACGCCGTGTCTTGCTAAGTTGCGCTCGTCTTGAGCAGTTGAAGTCTGCAGGCGTACTCATGTGATCGTATATCAGGACAATTTTTCCATCTCCAACAGTAATTCGAGAGCAGAAACTTGCACGGCCGGCTAATAGGCCAGCAAATTTGGTGGCAACTATTCAAATTAGAGCTCGTGCCCGCCTCCCAACGTTTCAACTTTCCAAAAAAACGCAGTTACTCTGAACTCAAAAATGTAAATGCAATTTTCCAGGAAACTTTGAGCGTAGCGCTATAATAGCCATCATGTAGCCTATTTACTCGTGAAAAGAATGTCGTTCAAACTGTCGCTCGTACGAATAGCGATTTTAGTTACCTTTTCTGAAAGTGAATATATTTGAGTGTTGTTTTCAAAGCCTCGCGGTATTACAAATTATTCCATTTTACAAAGTATTCCATTCTTCGCTATAACATATTTTATGCGGATTCAAAAAGTTTTAAACAAAATATTTTGCAATCATCATTCTTTTAGGTCGTGATGTAACAAGTTTTTTTTTTTTTTTTTTTTTGAGAAGAACAATTTAGCAAATTTTCAATTTAAGGGAAGATAAAATTGTTCACATCATGAAATCTCGATAGTTCACTATAATTTTGTCATAATTGTAAAAAAGGAATGAGGAACTGTTATAAGGAAATAAAAAATACCTATAACAACAATTCAACTTTTCTACGTTTTAATAAATCAGTTCCTTGTTAGATTCATATAATCGCAAAATTCAAAACGAGTGTTTACTCGAATGAAACTCACTGTTACCATGCCTCAAAAAAAAGCCTTTCTGAACAGTACATTTTTCACTGACGTTAAGTTGCATCTCATGAATTTTTGTGCACTCAGTTGCCGGTCGAGTAGCCTTGGTGCACGAACGGCAGATTCGTGAATCCGGCGAGCGGAGCATTTTGTCGGAGTTTCGTGGCACGAGGCCTGGGCATTGTCAGGGCACGACAATACAGAGAAACGTTCGGCCTTGAGATATGGACCGCTTCTGGTCAGATTTCACTCTTCATTGTAGTCTTATGAAGACGTGTATCAGAGGCAGCATTTGCAACTTTTCTTGCTCTATGAGCCTTGCTCTTGACGGCAGCTTCGAGAATCAGGCATCAAACCTAGATTTTACTGTTCGAATTAAAAAAAGAGAGGAAAGATTTTTCGAATTTTTGAACTGGGATAAATGTAAGCATTTTGTTCAACGAACCAAAATAAATTCTATATTCCAACAAAATCCTTTCAATATAAATGAATTCAATGAATAAATTCAGACTTTTATCATAAACTTTATTCCACTACAACGATATTTGTTACTACTCCAAAATATGTTCAATATGAATAATAAAACCTTTGAATACCTTAAACCGAATTCTAAGTGCAGGAGTGGTTGAGAAATTGAACGCAGGGTCGCCCGACGGATCTGTCCAGACTTTCATCTGCTGCTGCTAAGCGCCGTCAAGCAGCGCCGTCTTAGCTGCTGCTAAGCGCCGTCAAGCAGCGCCATCTTAGCTGCTGCTAAGCGCCGTCAAGCAGCGCCATCTTAGCTGCTGCTAAGTGCCGTCAAGCAGCGCCGTCTTAGCTGCTGCTAAGCGCCGTCAAGCAGCGCCGTCTTAGCTGCTGTTAAGCGCCGTCAAGCAGCGCCGTCTTAGCTGCTGCTAAGCGCCGTCAAGCAGCGCCGTCTTAGCTGCTGCTAAGCGCCGTCAAGCAGCGCCGTCTTAGCTGCTGCTAAGCGCCGCGCCTTGGCAGCCGGCAGCGCGACCTCGACGCCCCTGGCGTTTTTGAGGAATTACCAAGTCAAATGCGGACCAGGCCGCTATCTGAATTTGTCGCGTTTTCGACAACATTTCGGTAAAAATATATTAGGTTTTCTTACAAGATTCAGCGCTTTCCACGGATTTTCTGCCCCGAATAATAAGTCATATGCAAAACTTTAACCTGCGCTTTATTTTGGCAATATCATTTGACATTTTTATTGTGACTAAAGAAAAACCATTGTATAGGCCAATTTTTAAATCAATTCTTACAATTATATGTAACCTTTAAATTTATGTCAACTATTTCTCTTACCTATATTGTTCATATCTATTCTATCAATATACAAATATTATATCAAACACAGGAAGGCAGCTATAGATACGTAATTAATGAATAGAGTCACGTCCAACAACTCAGAGTGTAAACTTGATACGCGTCCTATGCAGCCAGAGTTAGGAGTGTAATTATTGCTGAAACAAGTGAAACAAAAAATATGTAATGTGCTCAACTTCAAGCGGTTTGATGGAGTAACTTCTCGCCGAGCCGCGGCTAATCCAGTGATGGAGTTTAGGTTATGAAATTCAAAGCAAGAAACTCGAAAGAATCTTAACGCACTAGTTAGTTCGCTTCTTAAAGCAAGTCTTAGAATGTCCAAATGCACTACAGACGATGACGTGGTAGATCGTATGAGCTGTACTACTTACATGCGTATATACCCTGATTGATTTATTTTCAATCAAAACTTTTTTCACTTGCAATCGCTTCTTGTTAAATGCGCACCGTTTTTAGCGCATTTTCTCATTTATGAAAAAAGGCGCTATTGTGCTCGTCATGTCCGTCTGTCCGTGACGGACGGACGGACGTGGGAAAATGCGCTCTCTGTCACTCACTGCAGTGAGTACTGATCTAATATTTTAAGATTTTTCGATAAATACGTTATAGCTACTAATTGAATTTCTGGTTCCCCTGCATTTTCTCCAACGGCAATTTATTCAATCTGAGACGGCAATCAGTTAAACGATTAATACCAAGGCTTGTTTTGAATATGCGTCTGTTATGATCTCTTTAATATAAGAAAAATTATTTCAGCTTTGCTAATATACGTTTTGTAAAATGCATGCGTTGTGAATAAAATCAGAAACAAAGAAACAGATAGGGAATATTAACAACTACAACTATATTTATGTATATTTACGACCCTAAGTTTTCCACTGGCAACTCTAATTACCAGTACTTCAGGTCATCATAACATTCAATATCGAATGAATTTGAATTGCACCTCATATGCCATGGTTCGTTCTCCAAACACTGGTCAAGTTGACCTGAATATGAGCAATCAATTTGCTTGCTAAGATGTACCTCATCGGTAACTCAATACTTGCTCGTTAATTTTGTTACCTTGCCGCGTTCTCACCGTAATTAATACAATTGTATTAATGTAGAAGCAAATGTCATCGTCCGAACGCCTCTGTATTAGCAACACTGCAGTTCTCACATGAGTGTATACTGTTAATTGGCCTATACTGTTAATAACTGTTGACCCAGGATTGCTGGAAAAAAAACTTTTTTTAAATTTAAATCATTTGCTAAAATGCATATAAGTTTGCAAATGATCAATGCTATGCTTTATGTATAATGGTGCTATATAAATGTCGAGCCAAAGGTGAGAAAAACCATGCTTCACTATTACTATGTATACAATAAAATAAGCCAAGACCATTATGAATTTCAGCTTGCGATGTTACTTTCCCAGAATTTGACATCCATCTGCCATTAAAATACCGGGAGGTGCAATTTTATCATGATCGAAAATCATTCTGCAAAAGATTTCGGTAAATTTGCCTTAGTAATGAGACGCTTGATTGAAATCGTTGATCTTGATGGCGGTGAGTGTTTTATCAAGCATCGCTTTGAAAGAAGACCGAAATCAGCTCATTAAATAGGCTTTATATGTTCAATCTACGGTTCGTTTTGCTTTTCATTCACCGATCCTATAAAAAGTCTAACTCCATGATATTTCGTTTCTTCATTTTTTCTGGAAATAAACTGAATATATTGAAGATACCTGGAGCTTGCGGCTTGTTTTATAAAATTACCCAAAAACTATTTATTTCAAACTATTTTTTAATACATACGCAAAAATTTACCCCGAGCAATACTTAATTAATCATTAACATGAAACATTGGGAGCAGCCATTTTCAATCGTTGACAGGTCAAAAGATGATATTGTAGATGAGTTTTGAGCTGATACTGTCATCTGGGTCTCTGTACTGATATTCACGCGGTGTACCTCAGGTGAAACGTGCTGATCCGCTCAGACTTTGTGCAAAAACTTAGCGTCTAGTTAAAGCGCCTAACTTTTTGACAAATCAAATGGCCAACGAAAACTTCCCAGCCGGAGTGGCAGGCAGCCTAAGGGAAAAAGTGAAGCGAACTTGCGTCCAATTGTCGTGTTTCTTGCAAA